CTACTACAGTACTCCAACTAGACACCAAATGAGAAACAGGAATAGATTTGAATTGGGAATCTACGAGTGATATCAGTACGATGGAATTAGAAAGTATTGCCACAAAAGAATGAAGTGATTTGATGATTGCCTGGCTTGTCTCTCAATCATCTGCCGCCAGCTTGAGCACCTAGACACACGAAGACTTGGACGTGGACTTGCGTAAATTACTACCACAAAAGCGGGATCTGGAATGACTCCTCAATCCCTGAGCATAGTTGAAAGCAGAATGAAGTTTATGGGAGTGAGTAGAATGTCGCAGGGACAATCTTGCAAACCTAACTTAAACAGGTGGAAGTAATTGCGTGGACACTGACAAATGACGATGACGTCGAGGATGTGATGATGCCACTGATGACCGATATGTGGTGAAGTTAGTGTTGGATGTAGAATTGAGGCTCTTTTCAGCTTCTCCATTTCTTCTAACTTATTTTCATTCCATATTGCAAATGGAGAGTAGATGTAGCCGCTGATGTAGATGCGGATGGCATAATTGTCAAGTAGAATAAAAGTGAGCAATCAATGCAAAATTGCTCCGTCGGCGCGTCGCAATCTGTAGGAAGGGATGACAGGGGGGAGGAGGAAGCAGACAACTGTCACAATTTGTGGGAGGTAAAAGACAATGGCATTCAACCTTGGTTCTCTGGATTTGCGAGAGTATACGTTGAGAAATAGACTTTAAAAATCTCCTGAATAGGCAAATTATCAAATGGCTAACAAACTTTTTTCAAGTTTTTAATCTTATCTTTTTCTTTGAGTTATGCTTTAATTAGCCTCACCCAGCTTGTAACCATTTTAGGAGCTACCTGTTGGCTTTTCGGTTACTGAACTGAGGTGACAGGGGATTTACAGCACCCTAATTCCTTACCCCGTCCACTCCCGCATTACCCAATCCTCCTTCCCCTGAAAGCCACTTGTCTCCAGGACAGGAAGGATTAATGAATAGACGGGCGAATGGCCGGCTGGATGGACGGATGGCTAAATAGATGAGTGGATGGGTGATGAGTGAGGCTACTCAAGATTGCTATGACTTGATGAGTTCACCTCCCTTAATCCAGTTAAATATCTAATTCATTTTCCGGCCACTTTACCAATAAAGACAAGCGATTGGCCACTCCGAGTCCTTAATGCGGTGGCATAAAGATATACCTAGATGTGTGTGTGTGTGTGCATATGTTAAAAACTGGAAATAACCTTTAAGCGTATGGCATCAAGACGTCAGAGCGACAGGTGTGCCATTTTACATGGAAATGCCCTTAAATGAACTCACCGTCTTGCACCTCGATGGAATTATATCCCATCAAATATACCAAAAATTGTTTCCTACCAACCTCACCTAAAGGCAAAATAAGATGGCAGTAAATTCTGAGGAGATTGTCCTAATTGTTTCCCCAAGTATAACATGGATGCGTTCAAAAGGAACCGAGGAGATGGGAAGGGAACAAAGGAGTCGGGGAGAAAAAGTCATTCCACTCTATCACTTATTCATGAATGCATGATGAGATGTGAATAGTGGAAGACGGAACTTCAAAGGCGGAGCAACTGTCCGATTCACCGGTATTAAAGGCATTCTTTAGAGTGGCCAAAAAAGGGCTTGAGTATGCTAGGTGAAACATGTGGTCCGAAGCAGTAAAAGTATCGTGCTGACCCATCCCAAATCATAAATACGGTAATTCATCTACAACATATAACAATTTTTGGAAAAAAGCCGACGACTTGGAGGTATTCTGCCTCCAAAAAATGGAAAAGTTGATTCGGAACAAAATTTAAAAATTTAATGAGATACGTGATCGGTCGTTTAATAATTTCTGGTAATTTTTTTCTGTATTCATTAATTCGTCCTGCCAACTAGCCATCCCAGCCATCTATCCATTCATCCATTCAACCATCTACCCATTCTGCGATCCAGCTGTTCATTCCTCCATTGAACCATCCCAGTCCATCCACCCATCCAAAAATTCATCCATCAACCCACCACAAGGCCTATGTCTTTTATTTTGCTACTACTTTGATTTATCTTTCTTTATTAAAGTCTAAATCTGGATCTGTGATATTAAACAGCTTAATCCTCACTAAACAGCAAATATGGACGAGGATGAACCTACGATGGATCCCTAAAATGACAGTGTTTGGCCGCTGGAGATGCGAAGAAGTTGTAAAAAAAAGCGAAGATAGTAAATTGTGCTTCTTTTGACTGACTCGCCAAAATTCTGGCTAATTTTTCTCCAAATTTTTATAAAATGATTTATGGGACACTAATCAGTAACACTTTTTGAATAACCCCAACTTAATCATCTCTTTTTTCATAAAGTAGTATGGAGCCTCAAACAGTCTGTCCTAGAGGTGTCTGGACAATTTGGTGTCACATTAGACCGATGGACTGCCTGCCTGAAATTAAGGTTACCACCTCTTCGTCTTCCTCTACTTCTTCTCCCTCATCTTAGCTTCTATTTGAGGTAATATGAGACAGTTTTGTTTAAAAAAACCTGTAAAATATAAGTTTATTAAATGGTTTGGCGAATTTTCTACTATTTCAGAACGGAAATAAGACAGAAGAAAGTGACAAGCTCGACACCAAACAATTAAATTACAGTGCTCGAGTCATCTACTACAGGCTTCATCATATCACCAGATGGTAGGGGTTGGCGAGAAAGGTGTAAGTTGGGGAGTGCAAACAATTGTGTCGGTACCTTTGGACTTTCACCACCTGCTCATCCCATACGCATTCGCCGGATGCTGGCGCGTTTCAAGGCTGCTCGCATTGCCCCCTCCGGTATGTAGACGTAGGCCGATTCTGGATCGTCTGCGAAATCTGGCGAAGGAAAGGCCCGAATTTGAGAAGGACGTGGAAGCAAAAGTAGGGTTTCAGACAAGCTCTGCATATTTATTCTTCTCCGTAACTTCTTTCAACTGCCTATTTGGAAGGGGAAATTTTCCCTAAATTGACTTGTTCTTTCACAGGGACAAGACTTTTGCCCAAGCTCACGAACACTTGTATAGACAGTAGGTAGGCCATCAAGTAGTTCAAAAAACCTTTTTCAGAAGACGATTTGATATATTCTTGAGGGTCGTCAGTTATGTTATCAAAGAGTTTTTATCGGCGATAGGAGTGTTCCATTCTTTAGGAGAGAACTACCAACTGGGGAGTGGTTACTGCGCAGGATCCTAGTCGGGGGCACAATAAACACTTTTATGCCACAGGAGGGAAAAATAATCCAATCTTTTATGTGAGCATCTACAAAACACATGGATCACACTGGGGCGTAGTATTCCCCCTCAAGTGTATTTACTTATCCACAAAATGTGAGGGATTTTCCAACTTCACAGGTCCGCCTATCATAAAAAATGTCACCTGACACAGAAAGAGAAGCAAGGCTTCAAATTTACCTATCCGTGGGATCAATTTTGGGAAAAGACTTATTGTAACCGAGATAAATATACGAAGTTGGACTACAAAAGTCGGATTTTTGTAGACGAACAAAATAGCTTAATTAGGGGTTTTGACTCTTTTGTCTGACTGACATTTTAGCTCTTCCTCTATAAGAGGTGGAAACCTTTTTGGTCTTTTTTATTCTTTAAAATAATTAATACAAGACATCCATTTGCCTCAGTCATAAGGACTGTTTAAAAAGGGAATTTCGGTGAGGTCATTTATTCGCGATGAAATGAAACACAGAAACAATCCGACAGTACCAAACAAATACCCCTTCTTCCTTTGACAACTCACAACATTATATCTTCCGGGATATAAATGATAGGCACAAAACTTTGTTTTTCTGATAGGATATTACAGTACCATATTTAGTTACTACCCTGAAAACCAAATCAAATCTCCGGGTTGGTTACAAAATTGTGATTTTCTTCGAAATTAACCCGTTCGAAAAAAAACACTAAAGTGAAAATGTGAGAAGCAGCTACTCCTAGTGAGATTAAATATGTCATTATAAAAATCATAAATTTAACCATAAATTTAATGCGGTGTTCATGGGGCGACAGTGTAAAATTTCGACATCACGAAATCTAGTTTTTTGCGATGCTAAGGACACAGGTATGGTCTCCAAATTACGCGAATTGTTCCAAATATAGACGCTCTTTCTCATCTCTACCTAAGGTCTTGAGGCTAGCTGAATTATTCAATAAATTAATGTGTAAGCAAAAAGTGCCTCGAAATTGGTAAGCTACTATCAAGTGAATTTCAGTAGTAAACATGCATGTCATTTATAATTGTTAATTTGTTCCATGAAGGCATTTATTTTGCCTAACTTACCTTCATAAGGGGCATCAAAGCCTCGTTTCCCAATCCTCATCTTCATAATACCCCTTTTAAAAAGTTCGCTCTCCGTATCGCCGAGATGAAATTCCCCATTATCTGTGCCCTCATGAACTAATCTGGTGGCTGATGATCTCACAATCAATACGAATGTGAGCAAACCTATTAAAGGAACGGAGGAGTTTTTTTAAAAACTATCACTAAGGGTAGGGGTAAGGTGGGCTATGACTTACATAGATATTTCCAGTAAGAAGACATGTCCCACTGTGCGACGATTCCAAGGTGGAAAACTAAGTTTGAGTCGATGTCCTCCTGACTTATTTATATAAACTGCCTTCAGCCAATCAGAAAAGGCCTCCTATCGTAGCCATTCAGGTGAGTTCTCTCACCCCAGTAGGAATTTGTCTGGCGATTTGTGTGCTGTCGGCCAATTTCTCCTTCAAATAGCATTAAAAATTATCTAATTAAATCTGTCTAAGTGACTCTCTTATAAGTTTAAATGTTATTGGTTTGGCTGGAATTTTCTTGGTTCTTAGAAGGCTTAGAAGTGACACAGTAAAAAGGACACGTATAATTCAACCGATAAGGGCAAATTTGATGTGAAGTTGAGACAAGCGACAGAGGCAAAATAACACAACTTACCTCGAACACTTTTTCGTTGACCGGCGGCGAGGTATGCAGGCTCTTCAATGTAATAGACGACATCACTGATTAACACTCGACATATTCCCCTTTCTTTTCCTCTTTTCAAAAGGCACAAATGCATTTTGCAAAGCAAATAATGACAGTGTTTTTTTGCATGGCTCTACACAATCAAATGGGTCCCCTCGTAGGGTATGACATCAAAGCTACGTAAATCCTCCTTATAAATATTGCCCTGGGGAGATTGAGGAGAGTTTGATTACAAAGCATGCTCTCCATATGGCATCAGCAGTAAAATGAACTGAGCAACTACGGATAGAACGTCTGTGATTCGAGGGAGCAACTTGTCTAGCAGACATTGTTTACCAGGGAGTGGGGGGGGGGGCTTTGTAGGTTTACCGGTCACCATAATTTCCATCACGTGGTAGTAATTAGGCGGAGGCGGACGGGGTGAAGGGGAGGCGAGATGGAAAAAAACCTTTGTTTAAAAAATTGCTAATTTTTTTACACTTCTCTTTCTTCTAAATCAGCTTGTATTTGTCTAAAGCCGAGTTGAATCATTTTTCAAACAAAAACAAATGATACGCCAATTTGTACGATTTAATTGTCACTCCTCCGAGATTTAAAGTTAAAAGTGACAAATATTTTTTTCGAGAAATCTGAGTGTCATCGACGGAGGAGTGTTGGTGATTGGCACAGATGTCGAGATTAATTGGCAGCCATTAGAGTTGCATCATGAGAAAGGGAACAGTAAAGTGACTTTTGACAAACGCTTTTCATTTAAGAGTTCAGTACCCTCATTTTGACCTTCAAAACTTTTTGAGCATAAAAAAACTTATTCCCTAATACATGACAGAATTCATTGTTTTCTCTTCCACATTTGTACTTTACATCCCTCAATGGAGAAGATGGAACCGAGGACGGCATCTTATCCTTGTTTAGCACAAGGGAGGGCTTACAGATCACTAAATTTCATGCTAGACCGGAGTTTGTCGCCGCCTTGAGGATCGGCGCCGTCCGTCCGACCACGAGGTTGGCTCAAATTGACCGCCTGTCTGTCACCCAAAAGGGTCCAATCAAACCGACGTGTACTTAACAGCCCAAAACAACGTTAAGAAGGTGATTTATTTCTCAAGTCACTAAAATTAAACAGAAAAGTTGGTCAAAACAACTCCAACATGCTCTGCAGTAGCATTTGCGCCCCTTGAAGAGGTAACTACGGTGACATCGAGCAGTAACGAACCCTTCTGTCTAGGAATGACATTTGAACAGCAATGGGTTTGAATAATTAATCAAATAATCTTAACCGAAAAGTTAAAACTAACCAACACTTTAACAGATTAGAATGAAAGTAATTTATAAAATTATGCCCAACCGTGTTAAGTCTTCCAAATTAATTTGTGTAGCGACGGAAAAATTCAAAGCTCCAACAAATTTGGACATCCACTTTCATATCTGCAAATTTAATCAGGCTCAAGGGAAAAAAGGAGTTTTTGGGTATTTTTTCCCTCCACGAGGATTTGTTTAACCGAGGATTTCATGAGAACTGAGTGTGTTTTTATTGGCAGTAAAGTATTTGCCCTAGCTGAGGCAAAAATCACCCTCGGTTAACCACAAATTTACTGGGAAGGATCAAAGCACCTCAGGAGTGAGGATTAAAAGTCTCTAGATCAAGGAATTTCTGGTCAGTTTAGCACCTCTTCCCTAGTTAGTAGTCGATTTGGAGAGACGCATTTGTGGGGCGAATGGTGTTTCTCAAAGCCCAACTCACTCTAGAGAGGAGGAATGGCAAAACGCCTTTAGGGTTGGGAAATTTGTTTAAATCAACTGCTTTAACAGGTCACACATGAATCGCTGATCCCTGAGAATTCGATGCATTGATGTCAAGGCCCACCCTGGTCCAGTCCCTTGTAGAGGTGCCCTTTCAAAAGAGGGAAAAGGCGTTCCTATTTCACCTTTGTTTCCAGATTGTCTAGTCCATAGAGCTTGTCTGTCTGGCGTGTCTAATACCGAGGAAGGAGGATATCAATCACCGGAGGTAAGCGGACGATGATGAATGGATGTATTCGTCTCCTTCTCTTGCATCACATCTCCTCCCACCCTATCTTAATGGACAAATGTTCTCACAGATCACTTCTACGGAGTCTTTGTCTTATACTATGCTCCGTTGCGCTGTGGTAGGAGGTCATGAATGGAGACTTCTAGCAGAAATGGAGCTCTTTTACAACTGACTCACCATCTTCAGCTCTCTGGCATATTTATAATGAAGAATAGGTTTTTTTGTAGCCAGAAGAAAGACACATTAAATGCAAAATTCCATCTGCTCGTGGAGTCTTCCAGGATTGAAGTGCTGCCTCCGTTTCAGGGTTCAATGCAAAGGTCATTTCTCATCGCAATTGGGTCACCAATCAATCTTTGGTTCATGATTTTTATATAACGTGAAACCAATTTGTTTATCAGCTTTTAGTATAACTGTCAACTAGCTACTTTATCAATCACATTACACATGACCACAAGATCTTGTCACTGACATGTACGTCTTTACGAGTGGGGAAGGGCGCTCCTCCCAGCTGTCATGCTACCACCTACAACTGCCACACCTTTCCCCAAATGCTAGGCAAAAAATATGTCGAGGGAACTTTTTTGTCACTCTGCTTATTAAGCTGACAAGTCGGAATGGCGAGCACCTGAGGAATACCTTACCAGACCTTGCCATACCGGCAGGTTGACGCATTTGTACCTATAAAAAGGTATACATGTTTAACAGCCCCCTCAATCTCCCGAACTCTTTATCTCCCCTGATAGGATTCTTTCTTAACGAATTTGGTGTGTTTTCCCGCACAGTCAAGTTGCTGATACATAAGCTATTTAAAGAAGACTGCTTAAACGCAATTGAGAAGCTAGTAGACCTGGAAAAATTTCATAAGTTTTGCCTACTAAAGAGCTTATTTGTGAGGGGCATAAAACCGTCCAGGGGTGTTATACCATATGCTCAACCTCATGGAAAAGAGGGGAGAGAAGAAGGAAAAGAGGGGAAAATTTCATCCTACCACCCAATACGACTTAACTTTCACCCTGTCCTAATACACAAGCTTTTAGCCAAACCACTTTGACAGAAGGTCTACTAACCCCATAGAATAACAAAAATGAAGTCGACTTTTGTCTTTTTTGGATGACAGGTTGAGATAATTTGAAAGAATAAAACTTTTAAGAAATAGGGGGAAAACAGTAAATTCAATGATAGGAAAGGGAGGTTGGACTGGGCTTGTGTAAAGAGAGATTTGTCTGTCTTGAGCCTTGACTGCTGTTTAAGGAGTGGTGCTAATTGAGAAAGTGTTCAGAGGAGCAGAGAAATCCAGAGACTCCTGGAAACCTCCTGCATTTTTCGCTTTCACTTTCCTCATTTAAAGGCCTTGGTAATTTTGTAGCCACTGAACGCAGTAGCTTACATAAAATGTTAAATGGGAAGAGTTGAGCATTGCAGGGATCCAAGCCACTAACCGTTTCGCGAAGGCGATTAAACTGCTCTTTACACGCCATGGTCGACCGTGGCAGCGATGACATCAACTGCAGCATAAACACAGAGAGGAGAGGAATAAAGAAGTTGGCTAGGTGTGTTCTTCGGGCCATTGTTTGTCTACAAAGTACAGCACACCATGTATATATGTATATATACATGCACTAATCAACAGTCAAGGTAATATTTATTACCTCCACCCTAATTCACAATGATAATGAATCTGTTTAGTCTCTGCGGACGTCGTGTTCTGGGCGCGAGAACCGAATTAGTCTGCTAGGAAGGCTTGTTTATTGCAATAAATCACGCTATTGGCATTGTCTCTTATGCCGCAGTCACCACTTAGAACTTAGCCGGTGTGGTGATCGCGGCGACAACCACAAGTTTGAAGATGGTCAATTATTACTACCACCGGTGTGAGATTTTGTGCAGTCGCAGAAATTCGAAAAACTTGCGTGATTGTACGTGGACTGCAAGTCGAAGTCCTCCTAGGCACATCGTCACCAAGACCCAAATGAATCCTTAATTAGGCATCTTTAAGTTCTTCCGGCTAGTTAGAAATATCCCATTAGTTAGTCCATTGTTTTTGGGACTTCAAGCATAGAAATGCTGGCTTTATCTCTAAAGACTACTAATCCTGGTGGTTGCCTTTGGCCATCAAGTTGTCCTGGGAATTCCCAGTTCAAGCAGTCGTAAGGTTCCCTTTCCAACATTCCTCCTATATTGTCCGCAGGAAAATCATCATCAGTTTGTCATCCGACTTCTTGAATTACAGCTTGCAAAGGACGACGTTTTCCCTTGCTTCCAACTTGATAGACTAACTTGGAGGTCTACTAGCAGTTCATGGATTAGCCCACCGACTGTCCAGTCCACTTACTGATTGTATTCTTCTTCTTCTTCCCCTCCTCC